CAAGATTGCCTCCATCAACAGTAGTTCCTTCGAATTAAGGGCACTAGGAGGTTCTATCATCTTCTCACACTCTGAGGGTCCAAGCACTCAGTAATCAGGTTTAATGTCAGCCACCACAAGCCATGGAAACTATGGAGCTTGGCACGCAAAACCCTATGATTTGACTACTTGGATCCTTTAGGATAAAACCCTCGTTCCAAAACAAAAGGTTCCATGTAAATGACCTCCATAGATCAATCTCATCATGCTCCATGTATTTACCTACATCTATCTATTTTCTCGTCATGGGGACAAGCAGAAAGGAACCCCTCGTTTGTGGTAACCTCCAGATGCAAGCTGCCCTGGCCTTGAACTTCGGTGACAGAAAGTTGTCGATAAACCAGAAGTGCAATGGGTTCTTCGTGTTGTTCCTGACCTGGGCAGGGCTTTCTTCAAAATGGGTACCCTACAACCCCATACGGAAATCTCTGGACTCTAATAGAAGATTGGGGGTGCATACGAATCAGGGCAAACTCCGGAAACTCCTAGGATCGCAGGCGTGAATCTACCAAAAAGCTTTGAGCTTCTGAAGGGCCGAATCGCAAGGGTTTGGGGCTTAGGGTTTAGAACTATGGCAGGCCGGGATCGAAGGCACCAGTCTGCACCTCAAGTTGGATGGTGTCTCAACAAGCGCGGACCCCTGCACAGCACAATCCAACAAAATCCTCCTGATTTTTTTCGGCCCCTGCTTGAAGAAGTAAGACAAACATCAGCATCTTGATCAACCCCCAGACTCTTGCTCAGCGGATGGCAGAGGCCCTGACTGACAGGATCATGATGCTGAGCAACTTCTCGTACAGATGCCCGCTGGCCACCTCACTGTAAAGGGCACTGTGGCTTGTCCTCCCGCATTCAATGTTGGGTTTATATAGGGTTTATATAGGGGTTATATTGGGATAATGGAAAAGAAAATGGAAACTACTATATTACAATAGGGTTTATATAGTTTTTGTTTGATCCTTGGCAGGTAGGTCTCTTCCCAGCGTGTCCCCCTATGCTTCTGCTTGCAGGGAGCATCCAAATGACTGATAAGCTGCAGTCTGGGACCCGAGATATGCATAACCACCGGGCAGCAGGGTGAAATTGTTGGTGGCTGCATCATGACATGACATTAAACAAGCCTCAGAACCCACTAAGATTTTGTTTTTGGTTGTTACTAGGATTATAATAACAAAAGAAAATCGTTGAGGCCCCTATAGGACATGTGCCAATTGCCTTGCCTTGGTTGCAGCCACAGGTCTACAGGTGAGTGAAGTCCAACGAAAAAACCAAAACTGACTTTGCGATGGACTTCCAAACAGTCCGCCATGAATCGCCCTTAATAAACTATAACAAACGATAATATACTATAATGGACTGAGAGCAGCTGGATGTGCCCTACTTCTTAGCCACGGGCGCTGAAGATGTGGATGGTCTCCCTCAGCCGCGGGGGATATAAGGGATACATGAGCCATAGTCTTAACTCCTTAAACAGGGGTTATATAGGGGACTATTTAGTGGCTTACTATAAGGCTTCTTAAAGGGGGATGCTGGGAGTTTAGGCTGCCAGCTCATATGGGGTATCATCACAGAATCAAAAAGCAGATGGAAATGGTAACTAGGTTTATGTAGGGACCATCAGTGCCGGTTTATGGCCGCTTGCACACATTTGGCATGGTGCTGGTGCTCTACTTGGGGAGTCAGGACATCGTATGTAGGCCAATATTAAGGATAACTTGGGGTATCCTATGGCTTATAATAGGGCTTTTAAATATACTTTCTCAGTTCCCTTAACCTTCCGAGTACAACATGAAAAGCATGCAGCAGCCAAGGGCGATGCTCACCATCAGCAACTTCCTGCGAAACACGCACTGGAGTTCTAGGCACCATGCAGAATCCCCTAAACCCAAACCCTGAACCCTAAATCGTTGAGACAATAGTGCTTCTTACCTCACACCACTTGAGGGGTGACTTCGACCCGGGAGGAGCCGGCTGTTTTCAGCATGAAGGGGGCTGAGGTAGCTAGGCCAATTTCAGAAATCCAGATTCTGAGCTGAAATACACCGCATTCCAGGAAGACCTGGGTTTACCAAACATTGGGGTTCTTTCTTGCGAGCTTCAGAATAGTTAGAAGAGTATATTGGGATATCTAAGGGGCCCTGATTGTTTTGAACATCTCTTGGAAAAACTAGTTGCGCGTGGCCCACACCCTGTGATGCAGAAGCTATTAGATGAATTGAGAGATCATCGTCCCCTCGTTTGGGATCATGAAAGGGCTCCTCAACTCTAGCATCCTTCACCCCTTTAACGCTTCACGAGGGCACGGGCCTAACATAATCTGAATCCCATAAAAACCCATCTGAGAAGCCGCTGATGACTAGTTACCGTATAAAAGTTAGCAGAACCCTTGCCCATTTTGGGTAATAATACCA